AGAGTGTTTTTATGTTCTGTATGTGGTATGAAATGACTTGAGCTATATGTCGCGCAAGAGGTACCACAAGTGGCTGTATCCCGAAAAAATTTTGATTCGGCTGGCATTGCGGTTCACCACCGTTTCTAGTAATGTCTTGATGACACAGCTCGTTACTAAGGCTAAATTTATGCGGAATGGTTTTAACTTGGGGAGGGTTAGCCATATACGAGTGCCAGTTGCTATGGCCTTTTCTAAATTTGGGGGTCATGTATACCAGCTGGCTTGGTAGAGCAGGATGCATAGAGTTTACATTCTCAGCGTTTTTGCGAATAAAAGCCCGGGTCTTTAGGATAGGGTGAGGGGTGAAAAATCTTCCATTTCCACTTTCACTAATAGTTCTAGGATTAGGTGGTTGGGCAGTGCACCTAGCTCTTGGATAATAATTATTTGTGCGCATGTTCAGATGTTGGTCTGACCTGTTCTTAATATTATCAGTCTTACAACTTGGAGAGGCTAGGGGCACATCACATGACATTAAAGGAGTGAACCTGTTCATCGTAGTTGGAAAAGTCGGTGGGAATCGGGTTTGAATCCTACCTATTTTTTTACTTGAGACCCAAGATTTAATCAGGTCACTCTTCTTAGTTAAAGACGGAGAATGTTTTGGTCCCCTGGACGTGTTTTTCAAAAACACGTCAGTTTCTATCGTATTCTCTAGTGCAATATATTTTGGGGATGGATTCTTAATTTTATTAGTTTTAGCTGGAACAGTGTTGTTTTTTGGGACATTTTCAGTCAAGTTAACGTTCGAACAGCTGGGATTAGAACTGCAAGGGTCGTTCGATTTCTTGGTGACAGAGGGCATCTGTACTTTGTTAGAAGGTTTACAGTCCACAGGCTTATCAAGATCTACATCGTGGTTTACTTGTTTATTTACTTTCATGACATTGAGGGTTATTTTCTGTAGATTGTCTGCTGTCTCACTGTTATGTGATCTGGTCGCCTCTCTTGTTTTTACACGACGTTGACAAGGCGTTAGATCCGGGGTAACCTTTACTTCTTTGTATAAGGTTGATGAGCTAATATTTTTGCTCAAACGGATAAATTGTTTGGCGTCGTTGCAGCAGCCGAATTTGAAAAGGAGAGGGCAAGTTGATTTATCCGATTTTTTTCTGAGGCGAGTGACGTGACAGCTGACGTTTGTCATATCACACGCTTTTAGACAGGTTTCCTTTAGCGAATTCAAGGATGTATGGTCGGGGAGGTTATAAGCTATCGCATTGCAGGAAGACATTATTCTTTTCGTAACTTCCTCAGCTACAAAGCCTAGGATATATTCCGCTTTGGCTAATTCTTCTAGGTTCCTATCATTATTCGGGGCCCATAAGTGCATGAGGGGTGCTAACAAGTTAAGCTTATCGTTAATTTGGGCAAGTGAGTTTTGTAACTGTCGTATCTCGCTGCCATGGTTATTACTACTATTAACGGTTTCGGGTGGAGCATTCAACTCCTTGGTTTGTGAATTTCCTGATTTAGGCTTTACAAGATTATGGTGAAGTTTTTTCTGTGTAGAAGTTTCGCCATATTTGGGTATAGTATCTCCTATATCTACGAGTTTTACTATTGGAATACTTAGTGAAGGTTCATCTGACATAGGGTTTGCAGATTTTGATCTTTTGGGTGGTTTAGAAGTTGGAGACATTTCTCTTTTACTCGAATTATTTGTCATAATGGAAAATTGGGTGGGATAATTGCTTGTCTAAGTAACTCAAATATCTTAGGGTATAATTTATTGTGTATTAACTGTGTTAATACTAAAAATCAGTGGCGGATTTATTAGGTAAGAGGTTCAGTTATGAAGTGCAAGAGTCACTGTAAGTAGGCTTAAACTAGTGTATTCAGAAGTTAAAATCGTTATCAAACGACAAGTATGTATTAACTGATTAAAAACTTAGAAGGTTTGCTTTCTAGAAGCAAAGTGCACCGGGTACAATAGATAAATTCTACTAAATCAGTGTAATACCCTACGAATGATAAATTTCAGAAAAACACTATACCACGTGAAAAAAAAGTTACCACTTTCAGAGTTCGCGCGCTTGTTCTCGATTGTGTTTGATTTAATAAATGGATAGTTGATTTTATAGATAATAAAGCTCATTTATAAACTTTATACCACACCGTTTCCCCTTCGACTATTATGTTCTGAAGTTCGACCTTAACAATTATTCTTCCCTCCAAACTGCTTCCGTTTGGAAAATAGAGTACCCTGCCACCTGTTCAGGGTTCTCAACTGGCTGTTTACTATAATCGTTTTGAGTCTGGAATGGATGCTTCTTGAATGCAGCAAATCACGTTGAGCAGCATACCGTCATGACTCCCCGTGATAATATTTAACTTATATAACCCAGAAGTAATAGACATGACTTTGCAGTGTGCTAAATTTTCTCATCTAAAGTCATCTGAGTTCTCCATAATGTAATTTTATGCAGCTTCTTTATGGCTTAAATCTTCCTACATTATAGTGAAGACATCTAATCTCATTTAAATAGTCCCCAGCAGCTTCCGATGCAGTCTTTAATACTTCCTTAGTGTTTTGTCTATGATAAATATTCTAAGTTTATAAAATACGTAATTTCAGTTGTCCTTCAGTTTTCGCATAACGACAGTATATAGTTATGATCTGTAATACTGCATTCTGAAAAAAGTCACTATGACTCCAAATGGGAAAGTTATAGTACTCTATCTATTTGTTGTTCTCAAACAGCTGCTAATTCCTGTAATTTAATGAGTTTTGCACGATTTTCGCTTGACGAAAGCAAAACACCTCAAGCAATATGATGGTGTAGTGGAACACTTCTACGAAAAAACGCGATTTCTGGAAAACAAACATTATTGTGCTCTTTTTGCTTAACTGTACCAAAAACTTCTTGAGCGCAACATTCTTTTCGCGTTGCTGCCATTTTTCATTATGTGCTGCTCCCTATGTAATGCCTACTTTCTCCTTCAATAAAATATTCAAACATGGATTTATTTTGATTAAAGTGACGTGATAGTATTGAACATTTAGTGATGATCATAGTCAATCTCGACTCGGTCACCATTAGAATGTAATACTTCGTACTGATATCACTTAGACAATATTACTTTAGAGTACCAAACAGAACTTCTGCAATAACGGCCAGTAGAGATATTTGTCTGCGAAACGGTACTGTTAGAAAACGTATCACCACTAGAAATTATTTTCAAATGTACTCTCTAGCCTTCTGATCAATCACACTGATAATGAGAGTACTGCCATAATCTAAACATAACTTAAAAATGAAACCTACGTATTATAGCTGTGTGCATGCGCCATCCTACTAAGCCATTTTTTCCGCCAAGAATCAAAAGGTTACAATGTTTAGCTACAAATAATTACGCCCCTTTCTAAACGCTCGATATGCATGGAAACAGTCAGAAAACATCCACATCGAAGTCTGACAGCCCAAGTGGATGTGAGATCTCGTTAACCCTTTGGCGAACTACACACATATAACTTGCAGTAATTAATATTACAGGTACTCCTATCTTGGCTCAAAAACTACCTTGAGAATAGTAAGTTTCGAACCACGTAAATTAGAGTGAACTCCAGTTGGCGACTCACAATATCAGGAGTTTCACAGGAGACCATCATAAATCCATTCCTCTTCCTGACATTCACTAACGATCTGTCAGACAGCCTGGAGGAATTGATAAATGCAAACGACCCGAAGGTCTGTAAGTCCATTCTGAGAGAAGCGGATTCAACTGAGCTCCAGAAGGATCTTACGTTTATTGAGGAATGACAGTTAAAAACGGTTTAAAACTAAACAGGTTGAAATTTCACGTTGCGTAGATTCTGCCTCACATGGCGCAAACGACTTAAACCCTGAACTAGAGTCCGCTCCATGATGTCTCCTCAGAGGTTCAACAAACTGTGAAATCCAAGACACCACTATGAACTATATAGATGAAGTAACCAAGGCTAACGCAACTCTTCACTTTGTGCGCGGATAACTTAGTGCTATCACCCCATAATTATTCTTAACATTGTTTAAAACATATGCGCCCCCAAACATTGAGGTTCACAACGTCGTTTCAATCCTTCTCCTTAAAAGAGTCATAAATCTGTTGAATCAAGCTCAGAGAGGGGCAACGACATGAATAACAGGGTTGAAGAATAAAATGTAGGGAGATAGACTCCAGAACTTGAGATTTTGAGATAATCGGAGGTGATCTGATTATGGTGTACAAAATATTAAGCTCGTCAAAACATCTTAACGTGGGCATCTTACCGAAGCATCACTACCACATCCTTCAAGGTAATCCTCAAAAAACTGCGAACCAAAGAGCGAATACTCAGATTCGTGCACACTTTTTCTCATTGCAAGTCGTCGCAACTTCGAATGCTCTCCCAGCAGAGGTGACCACAACCCCTCAGTGGACAGCTTTAAGAACAGACTTGATAAACATGTACTCACATACGGATTATCTTCTCCCTTGTGGACAAGCTGTGCCTGATGCATATCTTGTGACCTGCTAGTTGTTATAATTGCCATCTCCCCAGATCGCTAACTTAATTCATCCTGCTTATTATCTCTGTTTCGTCTCTCTCGCTTAAACTTAGGTCCTCTCGACAATTATCATTTATTTACTAAGTTCTTAAATCCTCTTCTTATTGACACTGCGATTCTCTCATTATTTTCCACTTTGCACTTAAATAATCTTCTGGTAAGGTGATAGCTACTGGTATCCAGAAATTCAGCCTGAGACAAACGTATTCATTCAAATCACGGGACATACAAACCCACAGATGACTACCGACTGACTAGAGTTAGTGCGGTGGAGTCGCTAGACCTCCATTCGTAGGACAGTACCAAACATCTGGAGCCATGTCGAAATAACAGCTATTGAGCTCAAAGAGATCAACTGTTTTGCATTAGCTCGTGAAAAAGAAATTGGATATTGAATACGACCTTGACGTCACCTTGAGATAACTTAAAATCGGTACTTATCTATCCCATTTGTAACCTCATTCTACTAACTTCTGGTTTCGACCATCAGTTTCTCTTGATTTCATGCTGGCTTTGTTGCTGGTTACTGTTTATTGCTTTCTTTATGGCGTATAATTTTATTCTATATGCCTGCTGAGTCGTGGGCTCACCTTTTTCTCTTGTTTTGTCCTCCCCCATTTAACCTCATTTCTGCTCCTCACGCATCCCCAGCTGCCTAAGGCATACTAACCAGAGCCTGGAGTTACACAGTACTTTCCTTTTAACTCGTCTTTTCGGAGATTACACACATACATTTATATCGTTCAGCGATATTCATGTAAGTGGTGGAGACCTTACTTTAGTTAGTAGAATCCATCCTTTCACTCAGCATTATTACGTATTAAAAAATTAATTGACCATGAAGTCTGTATGTGCGGACTGTACTGCGGTTAATACAAATGTTTAAAATTTAGGATGTTAGTACCTCAAAGTAGTAAAAAAACTGAAAAGACTATTCTAGACGATGTGGAAGAAAAAATTTCATTGCAATGGAGAATTAGACTGCAGCAAAAGATATTAATATTCCATTTCGTGTTACTTTCATAGCCTGCGTCCTTAATTAAAGCTGGAAAGTTATAGAATGCATTGTCCGGTTACCGACTGGATAAGTGACTTTATTGGTAGCAGATCCATTCTTGGATGTTAGAGCAGGATTTATCCATCTGCATGTGTGAATGACACTTCGGCATTATAGACTTCAGTTGGGGATGAAAAATACGAACTCTAATTCCTAACGCTTACATACAGCTTTAAAACCTGTTCCTAATTCCTCACACTCATTTATCACCCTCTGCTCGTATATCCCGGGATCATGAAGTAAGCTGGTGGATATTTTTAAGATCACTTCGGCATTGCCCGAAGGTTATCCGTCAATTATAGTCTCATCGTAAACATGAGTCCCAATGAGAATAGGAACCAGTAAAAATTGATTTTTCCCTGTTTTTCAATTCTTGATCCTCTTCTGTTCCTACATTGTGTAAATGGTTTACCGACTGTAGCGGTCATTTGTTCTACTCTTTGACGGTAATGTAAATATTTGACTACACATACTGTTTAATTCGGATTGGATAATTCTTCAGGAAGACCTAAACTTACTGTTTGATTGAATGTACCAGTGGTCGCTGGAAGTAAATCTTAGCACGTGTGGCGATGCATATAAATAACTGCAACTCATGCAACTACACAATATGTTAAATGGTACTACCTAAAGTCGTAGATTATAAAGATCTTGGAGTCATATTAAGCAGTAACCTTAAAATTACTAGTAATTATAAGGCTGTCGCTGACAAAGGCTTCAGCATTTTATGGGCTATTCGCAAGTTATTTAATTACTTGGATGAACAAATGTTTACGGTACTGTACCTGGCGTTTTTCAAGCCCCGGTTAGAATACTGGGTTCAAGTAGCGAGTCTTTGGTTTATGTTTGAAGCCGATACGTTAGAATGAGTTCAACGTAAAAGGAACAAAACTTGTTATGCTCTCACTGACCTCTTATGAAAAATAAATGAGACGCCTAAATCTGTTTACGTTATCTCAGAGTACTATACGAGGTGACTTAGTACTGGCTGATCACTTGAGAGGACTTGCCTCAGGTCCTGGAACCTTGACACACATTTCGACGTCCCACTATATTTTTTAGGCTTGACCTTAAAGCACCACTCGACTCTGTCGATCGTGGCGTTCTGTGGCAGTGTCTTCAGTAGGAGGTGTACCAGAGAAGTACATTAACTTTATATAGCCTCTGAACTGGCACCCGAATAGTCGAGTTTCAGCTTATCGCGAACTGTCATCGGAATCGGTTACTGGAAGTGGTGTCCGTCAGGGATGTCCACTCTCTTGTCACTGACGTATTTTTAGAGATAACATTATCTTCGTCTGACTTTTCAGAGGTGGACCTCCTAAAAGATACTCACTTTTTGACTTAGAGTTTGCCGATAACATAGTTCTATTTGGTGACAATGAAGTTCTACTTTGTAACTGATTTGGTGACGACACTGACGAAGTACAGTCTTCTGACTACCCTAAGAGACAATGTAAGCGTGTTCGGGATTCGATTCTCCCCGTCTCAATGTGAACTGTCGCTTCAGAATCTAGCTACATCTCCACCTGGACTAGTGATAGGTAGTTAGGTAGTTGAGCGTGTTGACCGCCATGTTGGTAGGTGTAGACTACCAGGTTAGGGCCCACGAGATGATAATTATCTGTGGTTAGAGACCCTGAATGATATGGCTTAAAATCGTTTGCGATGGCGCAAGTGTATCCACTCTTTATGTTCTTTCAAATTCTAATCTTCTTAATTTCTCATCATCTATGTCTTTTTCTTTCTATCTTTATCTCACTGAATTATACTTCTCGAATCGTATCTTCGAAACCTAATCTTCTCCATTACTGCTAATACTTCTACTATCTCTACCACAAAGGGATTTTAATCGACAATTGCGTCTCTGTGCTGATGCCGTATGGCAACTTGAACTGATATACACACGCACGAAGTTCTAGGTTGCTGCTGACTGACACATCCGATTGTAGTATAACTATTGGCAGTAATGAAGAAGATTAGAAAGCAAAGACACGTTTCAAGAAGTATATACCAGTGAATGAAGTTTAGAAAATAGAGAAAGAAGGTTATGACAAATTAAGAAGATAAGAATTTGAGAGAATACCAAGAGTGGATGCACTTGCGCCATCGCAAACGATTTTGAGCCATATCATTCAGGGTCTCTAACCATAGATAACTATCATCACGTGGGCCCTAACCTGGTAGTCTACATCTGCTAACATGGCTCAGTCCACTTCTCAGTGACTTCATGGATTTGTTTTATAGCAGTCTACTTACCTACTAAATGACCTCAACTCCACATTATCTATATTGTGTCTGACTGACTGGTTTTCGAAGAAAGTTTAAAATCTGAAATGAAAACGTTTGCAAATGGAGTTTTTTTTAATTGCGTCTTGTAGTGACTAGCTAAAGTTTTCTTTCGGAACACGTAATATCATCTGTCGGTGTATTCAAAGGCAGATTGGATCTTCATAGTACTATAATTTGCCAGAATTAAATATGGGTTGATAATCTTATCCGTATTACTTCTCTATCTTACCAGTACAATCAAGTTTTTTGTTCACTTGTCACTTTCATTTATAAGTGCTCATTGTTACTCAAGAGTGTAGATTCGAAATCGTAGTGTTTCCCGGTTTAGTATTCCTAAACTACACTATTTTGTTAACGTAGTTAGAAACTACTAAATTTCTTCCAGTTTTCTTGTCGTTTTATCGGTGTTCGAACTGTCCATTTATTGTACTTTTTTTCCATAGGTGTCGAGTATTGTAACTTTTCGCCGGACTAATAATCCTAATTCCTTCAATCACCCGGTAGTTCCTGTGGGGCTATGCTTAATCGTCGCCACCTTTATGGAAGAAACAGATTGTACTTCCTAAGACTTCGTCGATTCTGCCAGTTTATTTTAAATCTTGGCAGGGATGGATTTTATGACGGCTGGGTGGGAAAAGAATCCTATTGCATTCTGAACACAGCTGGTAAGTTTCTAGAAGTCTTGGTGTGACAAGAAATTAAATTATCATTTTCTATTCGTAGCTTTAATTCACGGTCATCTCTACGTTCAAAAAAATATATTCCCACTTATCTTTTCATTTTCCATGGTTTAATTTTAGAGGATTTTAGATTGCTACACTCAGAGAAAGCTCGCGTTATTTGTGTTATGTGGTACCTATTATCGAGACATAAGTTTAAAGAGGCTGCTAGGTTGCTAGCTCACTCAATCCATACATACCCAATGTCATCGACCTGGATTTGGCGGGTTGGTTTTCTACTGTTTCCGCATATTTGTTTAGGTTGCATTCCATATATTTCAATGTCATAACGATGATGTGGGGCTGAGATCATTTAATAGGTAAGTAGATTGTTATAAAACGCGTTTTTAAATGTGTTCTATCTTTCCTGCACTTGTTTTCAATAAATTATCATAGAATGCCTGACCCCTATACGTTTGGTCAAAGTCGTGGAGTGTTTTGATAGTGTTCAATCTGTTTATTTACTTCACACTCATATATTCAGAAACATCTGTGTCAGATAGCTACAAAGTAGGACTTGGTACATACGTACATCAGTTGAAGTTGCCATACCACATTAGCACGGAGACGCAATTGTCGATTCAAATCCCGTCGTAGTAGAAGTATTGGCGGTAATGGAGAAGATTAGGAAGCAAAGACATGTTTCAAGAAGCACATACCAGTGAATAAAGTTTAGAAAATAGAGAAAGAAGGTTATGAAAAATTCAGAAGATAAGAATTTGAGAGAACACAAAGAGTGGATGCACTTGCGCCATTGCAAACGATTTTGAGCCTGACCTAGTATGGATATCTTGTTTATGCTTCTAGGTCCAGATCTGAAACCAGTCTTGTTTTCTCGAGTCTTCTCTTCACAAGCATCTCCTTTTATCAAGCCTAGTATTTTAGGCACATTTGTCAGTCTGATTTCTCTGTGATTGTCAAAAGTGGACTTTTATCCTTTCTTATAGATTGAAACAATTAGTAATTGGGCCTGGTCGGATGAGAATACGTCCAGTTCCCAAATTCTATTTAAGATTTCAGTCAGTCTAACTGCTAAAATGTGACCACCATCCTTAAAAAAACCAGGAGTTAATCCATTAGGACCTGCTGCTCTCCGTTGCTTCAGATTTCCTATATCTTTTCCAAGTTCATTAAGAGACTGAGGACTTACATCGATATGCCGTTCAGGTTGATTAGAGATCGTGGTTAACAAAAGTGTGGCCGAAGGCCAGCTGTATTTATTTCACTTGGTTATACTTCTTGAATGTTATCTTCGATCACTAATCTTTTTGATTATCGCTTATAGTTCTAGTTGCTCTACTACTACGGTATTTGAATTGACGATCGCATCTCTATGTTAATGTGGTATGGCTACTTGGGTTGAAGTACTTACGTACCAAGTCCTACGTAGCTGAATGACTGGCTGAATTTTTGAGATAGTGTCGCTAACAGTAAAATTCCTAATACTAGTTTCCTTGATCAGTCTAAAGAGTTGTCTACTGTTAACTAGTTTCGCTGCCTTTTCCAGATATCTCGCTTCCGCTACCCAGTAGTGTTCACTATCATTGAGTAGGCTTTTTATCCGCCTGCACTTAAGCTGACCCCTCTCCTTATCATGTTTGAAGCCAGACGCAATGACTTTTCGAGCATCTATCATTTCTGTCTTCCCTACGTCCAGTAAGATGCAGATAAATGCGCGCTCGAAGTAGAGCATGATCTGAACGTAAACATGCGCTCCAGAATGAACGACAGTCTTCTACCTACCCTCTCCATCGTTGTCTGATAGCGATGTGGTCCAGTTGGTTCCAGCGTTGGGAGGATTTTGGGGGTTCTCATGTTTTCCCTTATATTTAAAGTTAATATTTGCCAGAAATCGGCGGTTATATGAGCATAAATGCAGTAGACGGTCATCATCGTCTGTTTTTTGAGACGCAACACCATAAGCTCCACCCATGTGTCTTTCATTTTCGTTTAGTCTAACTACTTGAGCAATAAAATCACCAGTCACTAATACTACGTCAGAGCACTTAGGTTTTTGGAGAAGCTTGGAATGCTTTCTTTCGTAAGCACAGATAACGGGAAGGCAACGGCGAATGTTCCTATCTTTTCGAGTCCTTATTGTCCTGTTTAGTCGGACAGCGCACATGCGTCTGTCTACTGCGATCCGGTTTAAGAGAGGTAGTTGTGCTTTAAAACTAAGTGCTATACCAGGTCGGTTGAAGAACCATAATGCCAAGAGTAGTGACTCAAGTTTTAATAGCTAAATCTTACTGGTTACTTTACAGTGCGAGGGTATTCTTTCCCTCAGATAAAGAGCATCTATAACGATGCTGTTATTTTACAATAGAAGGACAGTGTTAGAAAAGGTGCACTTGGTCTCCAAGATCCTAATGGAACGAATGGAATGCGAACCTATTATTGGTCACCGGCTAATATGGGACTGCAACTCCTGATGTCGTTCCACTGCCTTTAGACTAAGCCTCTAAGTTAGAGGTTCGGGCAGCGACCCCCTAACAAAACCACCTGCTTTGGTTTATGCACCCGAGCAGTATCATAGCCTACTCACAAGATAAATGATTACTACAACTGAAAAAATTCATGCTCGTCTCAGTTCCCAATCTCACAAACTATACTCAATCATTTGATAATATAGATTTTCATTTTTCGTTGCGTCACTTGTTTATTCCTCTATTCCCAATTTTACATTATTTGCCCTCTGATTAATTCCAACCTTTGAATTTCTGATGACTCTTTTCTCTCTTTAAATATACTTCACTGAATTACAGTTCTCAAATCATATCTTCGATCCCTGATCTTCTTCATTACTATTAATACTTCGACTACTCTGGGATTCGGACTGACAATTTCATCTCTCTGTACTAATGTAGTATAGTTGCTTGAACTGATGTACTTACGTACCAAGTTCTCCGTTATAGAGCGGACTGACTGGCAGGATCATGTAAATCTTTTAAAAGTACTTTGCACTTAGATGGTACAAAGCACATCCCATACCTATGAACATTTATTGCCAACTAAGTGCGGATTGCATGACGTGAGAATTGTCATGCAACAAGACAATATCATTCGCATATTCAAGGTCAAAATGTTTTTCTCCAGGCGACAGATTCACATCAACAACACCTACATCCACCAGAGCTATTTCCAGAACGTCATCGATAGCGAAATTGAAGAGGAATGATGCCACTAGGGCGAATCTATGATCAATACATCCTCGACGAAAACGAAAACCAGCCTACTCTTCGTGAGTTAGTCCTTCTCGGTTTCGATTAAGTATGGTGGAAGCCAATAATTTGAACGCGGTTAGTAATGGTCTAATCTGTAAATAGTTGTTACATATATAACGTGAACTCTTTTTAAGGACATGGACGACTGTCAACTCATTCTACGATTTTCGAACACTTGAATTCGATGTCCATATCTATCAGATTAATAGGTTTAATAATGTTCACATATACCTTAACTCTCTGATCATCTATTGCTGTGAAACTCTGTAGCCCTAAGTGTAGTCACTTGCTGTCCACCAGACGTTTGTCGAATGCTTTAGATAATTGCACTATCACATGTCAGTTCAAATAAATGTCCGAACTTACAGCACATTTGTTTACAGTTTAGTAGCTGAATAAATGAATCTGTCCTATTAGAGGTTAAATTATTGTTATGTTTTTATCTTACTTGGCCTGTGTGATCAGGCCATTAGATCAGGAACGGTATTTTGGCTTATTTGATTGCTGATTAATTTGCACTATTCCTGTATGACCGATGACCTATTTCACCAATGAACATCGACGGAGATTTAATTGCCTTATGATCCTCCAACTCACTGTCCAACTATTATTATAAGTTTTTCATAAGATTGTCCCACAAGTTCCAACTTTCTCCATGTGCAGCTCATTTTAACAGTTAAGCAATAGTTTTTAGTAATAAACTTGTCGTTTCTAGTTAAACTACATAGAATTATTGTATATGAAGCGTTTTGCACACTTTGCAAGGTATTTAGATTTGTGAATATTTTTTCGGATGTAGAGTTCAAGGATAATCTTTAGCAGTTACATGCTCATGTATTTGAAAACTCTTCCCACATTTCATTTTCCATGTAGTAAGCGGACAGCTGGTACCAAATAGGTACATGACAAATGAAAATTATCATACACCGTAAAATCTCAGTATTTTCACATGGTTTCGATATTTTTAAATTTTTTCCACAATTTTACGAAGTTCTTTTACACTATGGTGTGTGCATTTACATTTAAATAGAGGATCAATTCACTTACTATGTTGTTGTTTTCCCGTAATGATTTGTAACTTTCCTTTATCAGGGTTTTGGATATGTTTCTTCTGAGTGATGAAAATAACCGCGTATTAGAATTTATACTATATGAGATCGCCAAAGGAAACCTGAATGCTGTACAGTTTTGTCGCACAAATAAACAGGTATGTTAAACACCTTTGTTGTGATTATTTTTTACAGGGCTCAATCTTACTCTATAAATGAAGTTATAGTTGCGCCAGTTGAATTATTTTGTGAACTTTAATTGTTAACGGAAATGTGTTTAGAGACCATCCATCGTTAAGCTGTAACTCGACTATTCGGGTGCCAGTACAGAGACTATATGAAGTTAATGTACTTCTCTGGTACACCTCCTACTGAGGGACACTGCCATAAAACCTCACGATCGACAGAGTCGAGTGGTGCTTTAAGGTCAAGCCTAAAAATATAGTGGGACGTCGAAATGTGTGTCAAGGTTTGAGGACCTGACGAAAAGTGAATATCTTTTCTCTACTTCCACGTGCAGGTCGAAAATCAGCATGGTTTTTTCGAGATCCTAATACCGGTTTCCTTGATAGGTCTGAATTGTTGTCTACTTTTGCTTATCGCAGCTGCCTTTTCCATCTCTCCCGCTATTGCTACCGAACACTGTTCACGATCATATTGTAGGCTTTTTATCAGCTTGCGCCTAAGCTTACTTCTCTCTTCTTTATGTTTAGAGCAAGACGGGATGAGTTTCCGAGCATCTCTCACTTCAGTTGGTGCTACCGAAATCCACCGCTTCTCCCACAACCTTATGGTTCACGTTGCTAGTAGATATCACTGCTGTTTCCACAGGTTTCTGGATATCATTTTAAGCTGTCTCATGGTGGGCTCCACTTTCTACATGGCCGCCTAATTGTTTTTGTAGTTGTTCCTGAAATATATTCTTAGCTTTGTTATCATTAAGTAGAGCTGTAAGAGTTTTCCTACGTCCAGTAAGACGCAAACAAATACGCACTGTCACTAGAGCATGGTTCCTATACCTACCTCAGCAATTGGACAACGAAGTGTGAGTAAGAGTTTACGAAACCCAACTGTTTTTTCTGATTTTGGCGAAACATTTGAATATCCATCAAAGAACGGGCATACTGTTTAACAGTTCGCTCTATTATACTACATGATCACTTCAATATTGCCTGAGGGATAAGATCAATATCAACCAGTAAAAAATCATTTTGCAGTTATTGAAAGAATGATCAGAAGCAAATTATAAATGAATCTCACAGTGTATACGTTAAATAACTAAGTGTTTGTTATTATAATTTTTTATTGTTACAGCCTATTCAACGAAATAAATATACAAGCGGTTATACGACCCTGACCAGAGAACCAGAATTCGCACATGTTCAGCGACTACAAAGACTCTATGAAGGTTACAGCTTTTATGGAATGTGGCTTAAACAAATACATTCATTAGTATCAACTAGTAAGTTTCGAAGCAGTTTTTGCCTAACATCCGTTTGGAAAAGCTAGTAGTGTCAGAAATTGGGATAATAAAACTTATACCTGTTTCATTAAATATTTGAGATTCAGATTATGTTAGAATAACTTACTTTTTTACTTTTACTTACGCCTGTTACCCCCAATGGAGCATAGGCCGCCCACCAGTTTTCTCCAACCAACTCTGTCCTGGGCTTCCCTCTCCAGTTCTGTCCAATGTTTGTTCATTCCTCTCATATCTTTCTCTATTTCTCGGCGTAGTGTGTTCCTTGGCCTTCCTCTTTTCCTTTTGCCTTGAGGGTTCCATGTGAGGGGTTGTCTCGTGACGCAGTTGGGTGCTTTTCGTAGTGTGTGTCCTATCCACTTCCACCGCTTCTTCCTGATTTCATCCTCCACTGGAATCTGACTTGTTCTCTCCCACAGTTCGTTGTTGCTGATCGTGTCTGGCCAACGAATCCGAAGTATTTTGCGTAGACAGCTGTTAATAAACACTTGTATCTTCTGAATGATGGCTTTTGTAGTTCTCCAGGTTTCCGCTCCATACAGTAGAACTGTCTTCACATTTGTATTGAAAATCCTGATTTTGGTTTTGTTTGAAAGTTGTTTGGAGTTCCAGATATTTTTCAACTGTAGAAATGCAGCCCTCGCCTTGCCAATCCGCGCCCTCACATCTGCATCCGATCCACCTTTCTCGTCGATGATGCTGCCCAGATATGTAAAGTTGTTAACGTCCTCGAAATCATCTCCATCAAGAGTGATTTGGTTGGTGCATGTTGTGTTGCATCGTAGAATTTTGCTTTTTCCTTTATGTATGTTGAGACCTACTGCTGCAGAGGCTGCTGCCACACTGGTCGTCTTCTCTTGCATTTGTTGTTGAGTGTGCGATAGAAGAGCCAGGTCATCTGCGAAGTCCAGATCGTCCAGCTGCGTCCTAACTGTCCAGTTGATACCGTGCTTACCTCCAGATGTTGACGTCTTCATAATCCAGTCGATGACCAGGAGAAAGAGAAAGGGTGAGAGTAAGCAACCTTGCCTGACACCGGTCTTCACCTCAAAAGAGTCTGTCAGCTGACCTCCGTGCACGATTTTGCAGTTGAATCCATCATAAGAATTCCGTATGATGTTGACTATCTTCTCAGGCACACCGTAGTGTCGAAGAAGCCTCCACAGTGTTTTCCTATCCAAGCTATCGAATGCTTTCTCGTAGTCGTTGAAGTTGATGTAGAGTGGTGAGTTCCATTCAATTGATTGTTCCACAATGATCCGTAATGTAGCAATTTAGTCAGTACACGTGTAGTGTGCCTGATAACTGCGTGTTCTTATAGCTCATTCTATAAATCAGAAGATGAACTCCAAGTATCGTATACGTTTATTCGAGGCACACCACATAGCGAATTGAAGAACCGAATCGAAGAAGCGAATAGGAGAAGGCTAGTGAGCCAACTCAAAGAGATAGAACATGACTAAGAATATATAGTCAGATAAAAATAAAACAGACATGTGACAAGCGAAATAGGTATGCACACATATGAATAAAAGCGACGAATGATTGACAAGGTCAAAAGCAAGCGATACAAATCATGTGAGTTCATGGGAATATTACGAGATTAACATTAAAGCGAAAAGGATGAGTAAGTGCGTAAGCGTAAGCAATGCTCAGTCGTACAAGCTCATACAAAGCAGATAATAAAAAATACCAATAGTACATATGAGTTGTTGCTAAGCGAATGGCTTGGTTAAATAAATTAATCGAAAGGGCTTAAGCAAATTAAATGTAAGCGGATGCAAATAAATGTGGAGGCACTACACACGATCGATCCTTACGAAATCCGGCCTGTTGATCTCGAAGTTGGGCGTCTACGAAGTCCTTCATTCTGTTTAACAATACTCTGTTGAAGACTTTGCCTGGTATTGAAAGAAGAGTGATGCCTCTGTAGTTCTCACACTTGCTGAGATCGCCTTTCTTTGGTATTTTGATGAGGTATCCTTCTTTCCAATCTGATGGTACTTGTTCCTCATCCCAAATCTTCTTGAAGAGGATGTGAAATATTTTCGCAGTTGCTTCTACATCTGCTTTCATTGCCTCTGCTGGAATGTTGTCTGGTCCTGTTGCTTTGCCGCTCTTGATTTGTCTGATGGCCATACTTATCTCCTTAATCGTAGGTGCGCCAATATTAATTGGGAGGTCTTTGGATGCTGCTTCGATGTTGGGTGGGTTCAGTGGAGCTGGTCGATTCAATAGTTCCTTAAAGTGCTCTACCCACCTATTTCGCTGTTCCTCAGTGTTGGTGATTACTTTGCCTCCCTAGCTTTTCACTGGTCGTTCTGGTTTACGATAGTTCCCGGCGAGCTTCTTTGTTGTTTCGTACAATTGTCTCATGTTTCCTTCTCTTGCACCCTTTTCCGCCGTCATTGCTAGATCTTCCACATATTTTCGTTTGTCAGCTCTGATGCTCTTCTTCACTTCCCTGTTTGCTTCTGTATACTCGGCTTGGGCCCTAACTTTCTCTGCTCTTGTTCGGCTGACATTCACTGCTGCCTTCTTGTTCCTCCTTTCTTGAATTTTTTCAAGAGTACCAACAGAGATCCATTCCTTGTGATGGTGCTTCTTGCGACCAAGGACCTCCTGACATGTTGAAGTGATTGCCTCCTTAATCCCTTTCCAATTGTTCTCCAATGTTGCTTCCTCTCCATTGAGTAGATCCTGAAAGGCCTGGAACCTATTGGTGAGGGCTAACTTAATCTTTTGAATTTTTCGTGAATGAATGAATGACTTAGTTCTCATTCTCGTTTAATTTCTAAGTGAAAAATATTGCACAGTACGATTTAAAACAATATTTCCGACCATAGTTTTTATAAACTTCTAAATACTCACATTTTAGAATGTTCTGTAACTGTAAATTAGGTAACTTAGGATCTATGTAAGTAAATATCTGACACGTATTCCATCTCACTGATTGTAAGATATAGACATTCCCTTTATCACAAAGTTGGCTATTGACAATCAATTATAATTGTCTCATTTAATCCAACTTTATTATTTTTAGGTGATCCCGAGGAGGTTCACGTTACAGCCGACAATTTAGCTGAAAAAGCTTACCATCGGTTGCAAGAAGTTGAAGCCCTCGTTTCTGAAGGTCATTTGTGTGATATCTTTGTCCGAGCATTTGTTGAAGTAATTTTTTTCTTGTTTTACATTTTACATGAATATATTTCGGTTCATATTTGAAGTGTTTTAATTTTATAGGAATAATGATAATTATTAATCACATTATAGTATGCAAGCAGGTTCTTACTATAGAATAGGTATTTCGTAATTAAATTACTACAAGCTAACTAAGTGTTCGAGTGCATACATTTATAGGCACAAGTTAATAAATCTTATTCTTCACCATAGACTATTACAAAAGTAAATTTTAAAGTAATCCTTCAGACCTACTAAGATGTCACTATCAGACCTGATCCAAGTATAGGGGTTTGGATGCTCTCTCATTTAGATCCCATCATACCAGGCAGGTCGATTAAAAGCGGTCAAACCAAGAGCATCCACTCCGTAGTCCGAGGGAGAAGTTTTACTGCTGACTGTACAAAGGTGTGACAGTAGTAAGGTGTTTCCCTCAGACAACCAAGACCTAGGCGATGCTGCTTTCCCTCAATGGACGTTGCGGTTATAAATTGTCAACTCTACAATAATCATATTGCATCTAATCCAGCTTATTCCTGTCTCCGGTTATTAGGCCTTATTATCTAGAATAGTAATGTGTTGAATAGAACATTTGAATATTATGAATTACTGTTTTAAGATCGTATAATGCACATTTAGTCCATATTTAGTTAGATTTTCACCTAAAGTTTTCCGAATATCATTTCGTCAACTAGATTTCTCCTTCGAAGAAAGTCAAGATCTTAATAACTATGTTTCTAGCTAATAACTTCTGTTCGAATTTTGACGAGTCGATTCGAAAAACTCTTAAGTAGTAATTTATTGGTTATGTCCTTTGTTTCTCCATTCTTTTGATCAACTCTTGAAATAGATTGTTTTCCTTGAATCCATGACTTCACTGAGGTATATCTTTAGTTATTTTAAAAGGTGAAGTAAATCTTAATAGTATTTTTATGCCTTAGTACTCTGTATTTTATTGTTGTAGAGGATGACGTAATATTAAGTAAAGCGAACAGTTATTACGGTCTTGATATCTTCTAACTTCACATGTTCATCGCGTGATGATAAATTTACGTATTTTGTTCGTAATGTTATTGTTAAACTGAGTGATAAGATATCTCAGTGCAGCTTCTTGTTACTGGGTTCAAATTTATCATCAAAATGCCATCGACATAGATTTTGTGTTAATTTTCACTAATCAACATGACACATCTGCAACCATTTGTCATTTAAAATTTTCGTCTAAACTGCTGATTGCCTTCCTTCATTCACTTCACATCCAATACAGACTTACTTATTGTTTGTTTAATTTTTGTTGTACACGTAGATACTGCAGTATTTTAATGAATGTACACGTGCACATACCTTACTACTTAGTTATGCTCAAAAAGTACCCGAAAACCCAAACACATTAAGATATTTATGCGAATGGCATAAACGTCAACCTGGACAAGTTACTCATTCATCGACAATTTTGTCTCCATCTCATTCAACAATCAATAATTGTAATAATTCTACAGAATATAATATAGATTCAAGTGATGGTAATATAACTGTTGATGAAATTACGCCAACGCGTGCCTCTCATCTAAAGAAATCACCCAGAAGTATGAAGAATTCAAAAATCTGTTTAGAGTACCGTATATCATTTAGCAGGCGTACATTACCCGAACCAGCTCCCAACCTTCCTGATAATTATGAAACTATGTCGAAAAAAGAAATAAAAAGTCTACTAAGAAGAAATCATGCCCATTTGCCAACTATAATTGCTTGTTTAAAACGGGGTGAGTTGATCAGATACGTTGTTTCTCCATTCAATATTGTTCAAGATATTTCCTTTCAGTGTTTATTTGATCGATATAATCTTTTATTTCAAGATTGAATTCCCTTGAAAAATATGCAGAATGTTAAGACAGTTCTCGGAATACTTCAGAATGAATTTACGAACTATCACTGAGGATATTTTCCATATGGTATTTGAAAATTAAAGTGAACTAATTTTTTGATTTTACCAAATATAAGTTGAATGGGCTTAAGCTGCATTGTTTACATCAAAGGTACCTCAGTGTGGACCCTCATTTAGTGTGTTTATGTAGAGCTCTTGGATAAGTTTTAATTTAGATTACTGGCCACATATCTTAATCATAGTAATCCCTACTTAATACTGTATATTTAATCGTGTTGTAAATAATAGTCCAAAACTAATCGATTTGTGTTCACCCAACTCGTGGATACGCGAAAGTATTCAGAAAACTTCTTAGTGGTGATGAGATCCCATTCATCTTCCTCTACCATTATTTATCACCAGTTTTGTTTCTCCGTAATCTTTTTGTTTGCATGACACGTACTGTGTATATGAGTTATATTGCGATTGCTTCTTGTTTCTCTGAATAGCAGACGAGGTGGCAACATACCAACCCCTTATGTAGTTCTTGGATTTTGCAGTATTTAGGATTAGGGTTAGGTGATTATATCAGATCTGCAACAAAGTTATTGTTGCGATATTTGGGTCGTTGGAAAATAAATTGGTTCAGAAATTTGAACAGACGCGAAGATCAGTAAAATACGGAGACTATACTAAGTCACTTTTCAATGATGTCCATATTCAGGAAGTACATATTTATCAATTATTTGGACATATGAGTAGCTTTCATACGATCAGAGTAACAAGCTTATTTCTTGAGTTCTTGCGAACTTAGTTCCTAATGACTTTGACTCAGCCAGTTAGCTACAACGTAGAACTTCGTACGTCGTTACATAAGTTCATGTTCCCATACCACATTAGCATAGAGACGCAACTGTCAGTTCAAATCCGATAGCGGCAGAGATAGTAAAAGTATTGGCGGTAATGGAGAAGATTAGGGAGCAAAGACATGTATTGAAAAGTATATACCAGTGAAATAAGCTTAGAAAAAAAGAGAAGGAAGGTTACGACAAATTCAGAAGACTAGAGTTTATGCGAATACAAAGAATGGATGCACCTGCTCCATCGCAAAAGATTTTGAGCCATATCGTTCAAGGTCACTAACCACCAGGTTACTATCATCTGGTAGCCTGCACCTACACCTTATAGATTAGTACAATTGGTGATTGAGACTAGTCGGATGAGATTACGTCCAGTTCCCAAATTCTGTCTAAGATTTAGGTCAGTCTAACTGCTAAGATATGACCACCATCCTTAAAAATATCAGGAGTTAGCCCGGTATGGCCCGCTGCTCTCCGTCGTTTCAGATTTCCTATATCTTTTCCAACTTCATTCAGTCGGAGTACATACATCAATTCGTAATTCAGGGTGAACGAAGTGTGGCTGAAGGCTAGTCGAATTAATTCTCAAAGTGTTCTGCCCACCGAACCAATCTGACAGATTGAGAACGAATAATCTTCCCTTCAGCTTTCTGAGGTAGCTATACTAACGGTCGGATTTCTAATACCGGTTCCCTTGATAAGTCATCGCCGCCTTTTTCATTTCTTTTGCTTTCGCTACCCACAACTTTCTGCGACTGTCGCGTTAGCTTTTCGTCGACCTTGAACACTACGTTAATGTAACAGTTACGATTGGGATGACTTGGATTAATCTTCACTAATTGTCTTCTCAGCTTCGTTATATCCTGCAGATTTTCTTTTTGATTTCGCTTCCATTTATTTTATTTTATGATTTGTATTAAAGAGAATCGAAGGTACTATCAGCTTCTACTGTTACTGCAGCGTGGCTTTGAGGCGTAGTAGTAAGGATAAGTGTAGGATTTTAGGCTACTTAAGTCGACTTATGTGGAAAATAATCACTTTTCGTCAATTCAGTTTTAGTATCGCGTTCTTTGTCTGACGAACTATCCGTCGTAGATTACAATCCTGAAAGTCGAACTAATTAAAAAGGACTCTTCGCAGTTTTATTTAGTATGATGTCATATCGTTCTCTTTTTATCATCATCAATTCTCAAAAAGTATGATTTTTATTTTCAGGAAAAGTCAATAATAAAACCACGTCTTTCGTTATTCATTTTCGATTAGTTTTCGTCACACCAGTGTAATGTCTTTTAACTTTAGTGCGTTATCGTTATTAATGGAATCATAACATGTTATTTTATAGATGAATGTTTACTGAAATAGATGAAAAGAACATTTGCAACTTGATCTTTGAACAAGTATTTGAATACAGTCTTAAACTGCTGTAGCTTATTTATTAGTGACAGGGTTTTAATGTAAATTTAGAGTTTCTAAATACTTGTGTGCACCGTTAAAATTGAGGTCCTCAAACTGCTTTTGTATTTTGTATCTTCAATGTGCAAGATATGTAAGAAATGGAATGCTTATGATATCATGTCTTTATCACAAACATGTTTTCAGCATATAACACATTAATGTTACAATTGTTAAATATTAACCTGTTAACTGAATTCATTATTTCCGTTTGTATTGTGTTCTCTGAAACTAATTACTCGTCTCGTTAGTGCAGATGAAGCAAATTTAACAGCTTTTACACCTTTTCAGGTCCCTCAAGAAACAACCTTCCACGGTGTGGGCAGCCGAGAAGTGACAACCGCCCTCATACCCGTACCAGCACGCGAGACCAAATTGGTCGAAATCAAATCCTTTCTACACCCCCTAATGTCTCCCTTATCTCTACGACTAACTCTACTCACACTCCCTGTTCTCACTGCACCGCTAATGCAGACGAAGCGAGATCACGAAACGTCATTCCTGGTCTCTTGAAACCCCGTTCTAAACTACATGTTGGAGCTTTTAATGTACGGACATTGTGTCAAATAGGGCAACAGGCATCATTAGCTAGGACTTTAGAAACTCGTGCCGTCGATGTATGCTGCGTCTCGGAAACGCGCATACAAGATCCTAGTAAAGTCATTAACCTGATTCCACCTTGTCAAAATAAAGAAGCAGCTCGATTCACTCTTCGTGTATCCGGTAGCCCTGATGCTGCTTCCAGGGGTCTCGCTGGCCTAGGCATAGAGTTGAGTTCTAGGGCAGAATTATCTCTCCTAGACTGGATCCCAGTAGATAGTCGTTTGTGCGCTGTCCGACTAGACGGGACAGTAAGGACTCGGAAGGATAAGGACACTCGCCGTTGCCTCTTCGTCATATCTGCCTATGCCCCCACTGAATGCAGTTCAGACGAGGTTAAAGATGAGTTTTACAGAAAGCTTTCGGACCTCCTCCAAAAAGCTAGGCGCTCTGATATAGTAATAATGGCTGGTGACTTTAACGCTCAAGTAGGTAGACTAGGTGAAAAGGAAAGACATCTAGGTGGATGTTATGGTGTAGCGACTGAGAGAACAGACAATGGTGACCGTCTGTTGCAAGTATGCTCAGATAACCGCCTATTCTTAGCGAACACCAACTTTAGGCATAAGGAAAAGCATCTGTTGACCTGGCGACCTCCAAAGTCGTCTCAACGTTGGACTCAACTAGATCACATTGCCATCAGCCACCGATGGAGGGGTTCGATAGAAGACTGTCGCTCGTTCTGTTGCACATGTTTGGATTCAGATCATGCTCTAGTGCGAGCGCGTATTTGTTTGAAGCTTACTGGACGTAGGAAAGACACCGTAAGAAAGCCTCTTAGGGTTTTACTTAATGATAATAAGGCGAAAAATATATTTCAGGAGCAACTAGAAAGAGAGTTAAGCAACCATGCAAGCAATTCCCATCCAGAAGCAGGATGGAATGATATCAAAAAGGCTGTGGAAACAGCAGTGATATCTGTGAGCGAGGTAAACCATAAGGCTAGAATGAAGCCGTGGATCTCAGTCGCATCCACCGAACTGATGGATGCTCGAAAACGCATCCCACCTGGCTCTGAGCATGATGAAGAGCGTAGTCAGCTTAGGCGCAGACTTATAAAAAGTCTGCGTAACGACCGCGAACAGTGGTGGGTGGCGAAAGCAAAAGCGATGGAAAAGGCGGCGGCGATAGGCAACACTAGACAACTTTTCCGACTTATCAAGGAAACTCGTATTAGGAATCCTAGTGTAAGTGAGACTATCTCGGAAAAGGATGGTCTTATTATCCATTCTCAATCCAGGAGACTGGATCGATGGGCAGAACACTTTAGGGATCAGTTCAACTGGCCTCGAGCCACTCTTCGATTACCCACGATCTCCAGTCATCCTGAATGGCAAATCGACATAAGTCCCCCTAGTCTTAATGACGTTGAGAAAGCGTTAGGAAATCTGAAACGAGGACGAGCTGCAGGTCCTGATAGACTGACCCCTGAGATATTTAAGGATGGTGGTCAAGTTTTATCAGCTAGGTTGACTGAGATCTTAGGTAGAATCTGGGAACTGGACGTAATCCCATCCGACTGGTCTCAATCCTTGATTGTCCCAATCTATAAGAAAGGACAAAAGTCTTCTTGTGACAATCACAGGGGAATAAGTCTAACTAATATAGTATCTAAAATACTGGCCTCAATAATACTTCGACGCTTAACGAAAGCTCGTGAAGAGCAGACTCGAGCAAACCAGTCTGGTTTTCGACCTGGACGTGGCTGTATAGACCACGTCTTCACACTCAGACAGGTCCTGGAACATAGACACACATTTAGGCGTCCTACAATAGTTGTTTTCCTGGACCTTAAGGCGGCATTTGACTCAGTTGATCGTGAGGTTCTGTGGCAGTGTCTGTCATTGAAAGGTGTACCAAAGAAGTACATTAACCTTATACAAGCTCTTTACTCGAACACCACTGGTCGAGTGAGGGTTTATGGCGAACTGTCACCGGAATTCTCTACATCAAGTGGTGTCCGTCAGGGATGTCCACTTTCTCCATTTTTGTTTAATTTTATCATAGACATGCTCCTAGACATAACATTATCCTCGTCTGAATTTTCTGGAGTAGACCTTCTACCAGGAGGCTCGCTTATTGACTTAGAATATGCCGATGACATAGTTCTACTTGGTGAAGACGCTGACAAAATGCAGAGTCTTCTGACCACCCTAAGCAACAATGCAAGCATGTTCGGGATGCGGTTTTCCCCCTCGAAATGCAAAATGTTGCTTGAAGATTGGGTTGCATCGGCACCTGAACTAGTGATAGGGAGTGAAGTAGTCAAACGTGTAGACCGCTTCACTTATCTTGGTAGTCTCATCAGTGCCGATGGCCTGGTGACCGACGAAATCTCAGCACGGATACAGAAGGCTCGATTGGCTTTTGCCAACCTGCGTCACTTATGGCGTAGGCGAGATATCCGTTTTCTGACTAAATGACGAGTGTACTGCGCAGTAGTTCGCTCCGTCTTACTTTATGGCTGTGAAACATGGCCAGTGAGAGTAGAAGATATTCGTAGGTTACTGGTTTTCGATCATAGGTGTCTTCGAAGCATTGCTCGTATATCGTGGGACACCCAAGTGAGCAACGCTGTTATTAGGAAACGGGTGCTAGGTAAGGATGGCAGATCAATCGATGAAGTATTGAAACTTCACCTGTTGAGGTGGTTGGGACATGTGTTGCGTATGCCCAACCACCGACTGCCTTATCGAGCCTTGTTTTGTAGTGTAGGAATAGGTTGGAAGAAAGCTAGGGGCGGCCAAACCAAAACATGGCAGAAATCCATGAAGTCATTGACTAGTGGACTGAGCCATGTCGGTAATTGTCGACTACCTGGTTGGGGTCCGCGAGATGATAATAATCGATGGTTAGAGACCTTGAATGACATGGCTCAAAATCGTTCGCAATGGCGCAGGTGCATTTATTCTTTGTGTTCTCTCAAATCCTAATCTTCTGGATTCTTCAACCCCTCTAGTTTCGACTGTCTAAACTTTTCTCACTGAATCATACTTCTTGAATAGTATCTTCTAATCCTAACCTCTCCGATTATTTCTAATTCCCTTAGTACCTCTCCTACTATTGGATTTGAATTGACGATTACTTCTCTGTGCTGATGTGGTATGGCAACATGAACTGATGTACTTATGTACAAAGTTCTACGTTGCATCTGACTGACTGACTGACTAAAATATCATCGTTTTTCATATCCTTGGTAATATAACCACTTCTATCTCAAGATTGGATGTTAATGGTTTATTTTTTTATGTTGCTATGGTATTTGTTTATAATACATATTGTAGGAAGATTTTCGGAAGCATTGGATCTATCCTTTTTATTACTTGATCACCCATCGTGGGCGGTTTACTGTGAACCTTGGCGCCTCTTACGGAAAAGTATACTATCTGTCGGCAAAAAGAAGTGAGTCCATCAAATTATGTTCTATGACTTTTATTAAAAGTAAAACAATTCGGTTACTTGTAATAAGATCCAGAAGTTGACTTACTGCCACTAAAAATGCTGTACGGTAAGGAAAGAAATTTAACCCTCTGGCATTTATCAGTTTAAAGCATTTACTTAAAATCGATAAAAAATAACACGTTTACTTAAGAAAGTTGATTTTTGTTTCCATATTTCCATGTATTTCTTAATGATAAACCAATCGTCTACCGGTTTTAGCAATCGAAACTTTACGCTGGGCAGTGGTTGTTAACGTATGATTGATTGAGTGATACTCGTTTTGCGACGTTTATAAAAGTATAACTTTCTTTGGCTTAGATTTTGTTACGTGAAAAAATCTTCCCAGTTGTTAGGCTTCAGTATTTTTCCAAAAGTTCTTAACAGTTGTTCCTCTTAGTCCGAGCTACAAAGAAGGAAATCTCTTCTCTCTCTCATGCTCACTTTTTGCGAGGTCAAATAACATTAATAAATTAAAGTTATTTTTTTAATAACAGGATCAGCTTCAGTGATTGAACTCTGAGCTTTATGTTGATAATTTCAAAATGTATTCTCTTTCTAAATACATCACCATGTAGTTTTTAAAGTGATTTTTTCCTGACAAATCATCTTCTTCATAATCTTTTATTTCAGTTCTGAGGTTGTACACGCTTGGGCTATACGAAAAAGGTATTGGAATAAATTGCATTTCTCTTTATCGAATTTACCAGTTATTGGAAAGTCTGTGAAATCATTGTTGAATAAACTTGATTTGACAGAATTAAATGTATCCAATGATGAAGAGTCAAAATTAAATGATCATTTGAATGTTCAATTATCAATTGTTGCTAATATGAAACCAGTTATTTTTCATGAGTTTCCCAATACAGATTTATTTTCCTAATTTATATATATATATATATATATACATATATATATATATATATATTGTTGATTACACTCATAGATGTGAGCAATTTGAAATATAAATAAGTATTGACTGACATTTCACACTTCGTTTTTAATAAATGTAAAATGCTACGTTGAAATTACTCTAGGTTAAGGTGACTAGCTATTCACCGAAATGTCTTCACCTACACGGCAATAAATGTTACACTATTTCATAAGAAATATGCTGCGAATGACGACTTAGCCTATCATCGCATATCACTGTCACATATGTTCCTCAGAATGAAGGAAATAGTAATTTTCGTTATTAGGCAAACAACAAACCTTATATAAGTTCTGTATTTCATTTAAACATTAAGGATTAATCAAACCGGGTTAAAAACGAGATTATAAATTATGCTCTTGAACCTTAATATTCTAAAAAGCCAGTGGATTCTTATTCACAACGCTAAAGAATCTTGAATTTTAGAAGCCTAAATGAACCAAGTGTTGATTACGTCATCCAGAGCGACAAAAGCCCTTTCAGCAAGCTATTATATAGGGCTTGGTACGTACGTAAACAGTACCATACCACATTAGTACAGAGAGATCAAATTGTCAGTCCGAATCCCAGAGTAGTCGAAGTATTAGTAGTAATGAAGAAGATCAGGGATCGAAGATATGATTTGAGAACTGTAATTCAGTGAAGTATATTTAAAGAGAGAAAAGAGTCATCAGAAATTCAGAAGATTGGAATTTGAGCGAAAACAAAGAATGAATAAATCGACACCATCGCAAACGATTTGGAGCCATATTACTCAGGGTCTCTAACCATTGATAACTACCATCTCGCGGACCTCAACCTGATAGTCTACACCTACCAACATGACTCAGTCCAACTGTAAGTGACTCCACGCATTTGTGGCATGTTTTGGTCCGGCCGACCCTAGCTTTCTTCCAAGTTTTTTTATCTGGGGCGATATGTAAGTGCTGATAGTCGCATGAGATCAACTCGAATATAACGAAATTCAGGATAAAATTTGCTTACCTGAGTCATCTTTTTCTTCGTTGTGATGTAAATGTGTTTGGTAAAGTCTGGTCTACAATGAGTGAGTGAGAGAAGTTTTTATCTATGCTTGTGAAACCTGGTCTCTGCGAATCGAGGATATTGAGTGACTGATAAAGCTTCCTGAATCGAAAGATTCCTTTCTGGTTATATTTTAATTAGCTCTCATTATTATTATCCTCATACACTGGTCTTCATACATTTCTTATCTTTTCTTTTTTATATTCATCTTCCTTTCTATATCTTTCCACTACTTCATTTTTATTGTATGGATCATATATATATGGGCCCCTTGTACCAGTTTTTGTGTTTAAATAATAATTTCTGGTAACACCTCGAACCACAGTTACACCCTCTCTAGGACTTTAACCGCAGAGTTGTGATAGACTGATGCGTTTCAGTGCTATCATTTTCTAACGCCGGTTACCCTCAATGTAGCATAGGCCGCCGACCAGTTTCCTCCAACCAACTCTATCCTGGGCTTCGCTCTCCAGTTCTGTCCAACTTTTGTTCGTTCTTTTGATGTCTTTCTCTATTTCTCGGCGTAATGTGTTTCTTCGCCTTACTTTGATTTTGAGAATTCCATGTGAGGGCTTGGCTTGTGACGCGGTTAGGTGCTTTCCTCTGGGTTTCCTATCCACCTCCAGCGCTTCCTGATTTCCTTCTCCGCTGGAATCTGGTTTGTTCTCTCCCACAGTAGATTGTTGCTGATGGTGTCTGGCCAACCCACTCGAAGTATATTACGTAGAAAACTGTTAATGAACAATTGAATCTTGTTGGTGATTGATTTGGTATTTCTTCATACGGTAAAACTGTCTTGACATTCATATTGAAATTCCGACTTTTTTGTATGTTGACAGTCGTCTTAATTTGCAGATGCTCTTCAATTTTTAGAAATGCTGCACTTGCTTTGCTGATTAGCGAAGTTGAGGTCCGCAACATTATAATAACCTGGTGGTTAGGGACCCTGAGTAATATGGCTCCAAATCGTTTGCGATGGTGTCGATTTATTCATTCTTTGTTTTCGCTCAAATTCCAATCTTCTGAATTTCTGATGACTCTTTTCTCTCTTTAAATATACTTCACTGAATTACAGTTCTCAAATCATATCTTCGATCCCTGATCTTCTTCATTACTATTAATACTTCGACTACTCTGGGATTCGGACTGACAATTTCATCTCTCTGTACTAATGTAGTATAGTTGCTTGAACTGATGTACTTACGTACCAAGTTCTCCGTTATAGAGCGGACTGACTGGCAGGATCATGTAAATCTTTTAAAAGTACTTTGCACTTAGATGGTACAAAGCACATCCCATACCTATGAACATTTATTGCCAACTAAGTGCGGATTGCATGACGTGAGAATTGTCATGCAACAAGACAATATCATTCGCATATTCAAGGTCAAAATGTTTTTCTCCAGGCGACAGATTTACATCAACAACACCTACATCCACCAGAGCTATTTCCAGAACGTCATCGATAGCGAAATTGAAGAGGAATGATGCCATTAGGCAATCCAGCTTGACCTCACTGCTTGAATGAAACAGTGGAGGTGGTTTGTATGACGTCACTCCGTCTGACGTGTTTGTATATAGGACCTCAGGATATCAATAAACTTCCCAGGTATACCCTTCTTTAATAAATAGTCCAGAAGAACATTCCTGTTTAGCTATTCGAAGGCAGTTGTGATGTTAGGAAACACAATTGTTGTCCTGCGATAAGTGTGACGGTGCTCTAACATTTCGCGGAGGGCGAATCTATGATCAATACATCCTCGACCAAAACGAAAACCAGCCTACTCTTCGTGAGTTAGTCCTTCTCGGTTTCGATTAATCTAGAAAGTATGGTGGAAGCCAATAATTTGAACGCGGTTAGTAATGGTCTAATCTGTAAATAGTTGTTACATATATAACGTGAACTCTTTTTAAGGACATGGATGACTGTCAACTCATTCTACGATTTTCGAACACTTGAATTCGTAGTCCATATCTATCAGATTAATAGGTTTAATAATGTTACATATATCTTAACTCGATGTTGGAATACTTTAGTGGGCAAACGGTTGTGAACATTTCAATCATTCTCATGGTCGTAAGGTCGCTCCTATCTTTTAAAAGGCTGGAGATATATCATGTTGGCCTGGTGATTTGTGATGCCTCAAGAGTAAAGTTCCTTGAGGACTTCCACCTCCTAATGTGCATCAGTCATCACCAACCAGGAAATATAGCATAGTTCGACCAATGTTGTCAGGAAAGTATGCCGGTTAAACTATTCCTCAGAAAACTCTTTCCATCATCCAAGGCGTTGGTAGATGTTATTATTTGTGGTCCCATCAGCTTCACGGATTCTTTCACTCACACCGGACTTCTTTCTGCAATTGAGTGAGTTGAAAAAGCTGGCAGTCACCAGATGTAGCTGCATTTGATACCTCTTTAGCACTTTCCGAACATCCGGTTTCTTGGTCCTCATACAAACTTTGCAATAACATATTTTACATAAGTCTTTTTTTGTCGTCAAACTCGCAATTACCTGGAGTAGATTGACATGACTCAACGAGTTGTAAGGAGCCTGTAGAAGAAATTCTGTGTTTATAAGAGTAATGATTTACAAACCGCAAGCGACCTTACTATTCATTTTCATGGCGTCGTGAAATTGCAACCAGTGCTTATCTATACTTCTTGTTGAGTCCGTGGCTAGCCTTTTGTTAGGCTCGTCACTTGGAACGCTTGAAGACCTGTAGAGAAGTCAGCACATATACGTACCGTGCCGTTGGCCTTCTTGATAACGACTATAGCTGCTGCCTAAGCAGTGTAAGAAACGGGAGCAATAACTCCTTGTCGATCCAACTCTTCATCTACTGTTGCTAGTGTTGCATAAGGTACCGGTCTCTTTGGACGAAAAGCAGGCTTAGCCCCAGGTTTCAACTGAAGTGTTGCTTTCATGGCAGTGCACCGACCTAATCCAGGTTCAAAAATGGTTGAAAATTGCGTCATTAAATTCCTCGTACATGATTCAGTGTCATGTGGTTGTGATACCAGGTGGCATATGGTATTTAACGGGACATCAGCCAATTTTAGCTGGTCGAAGCAATCTAAACCAGGTAAATTTAGATCAGCTGGCGTTATATAACATACAGCAGAAAATGATGAGTCTCGGAAGGACCTTACATTCCAGTTGTCCTAACAGACGAAGGCAATTACCACATGCTGTACCAGGCTTCTGTGTTGTGTGCTGCAGGCTTGGGCTACCCAATTCGGTCCAGTCTTTGCGTGAGAGGATGACGACATCAGACGCGGTATCTATTTGCAATCTACATTAGCAGTAATGAATTTTCTCTCACCTGGTGATGAGCTTTGGCAGGAAGATATTAGGCCCAATGAATTGGTACCGGATCCAGGAACAGACTTTTTAGCACTTCTGGATCGGTTCGGCTTTTTCTTTAGGCAAAAGCCATCTTTATGACCGATGACCTAACACTTCCTGCATCGATATTGCCTAAATCGGCAGTTCCTTACATAGTGCCATGAGCCGCAGTGCCAGTAAGCAGCAGAGGACTTCATTTTTGACTTTTGGGCAGACCTGGAGTGGGATGAACTGGGTGTAGCATGGGCAGATTTATTCTGATTAGGTGGCTGCTGTACCAAATGAACTTCAGATCGGCTTGAACTACTACTCTGAAGTATAGTTGAGTCTCGTTGTAGGTTAATGAGACGTTGGAACTCATTTGCCATGTAATTAAGAGTGAGCTTCGGATCTTGTTATAACCGACATAGCAGCCTTGTTCTAATGTCACTGAACTTATGAGACTGGAAGCTGCAGATGAGTATAAGGGCTTTGAACTGATCTTCCGACAAAGACTTCAACCGAAAGCGTTCGCATTCACGGTTGACGATGCCTACATGCGTAAGAAAATTATCGTCTTCGTTCATAACTAGCTTCAAACATCGATAATGAGTATTAAACAGTGACGAGTTGTTGCCAAAGTGTTGGCTCGATGTCTGAACTGTCTCAG